CCGCCATCCGGTCCCCACACCACACCACCCCACTGTCCCGCTGCGTCGAGTACTGCGCTTCCCACGCGTACACATCAAGCGCTCCCTGCGCGACCAATACGCCGAAGCCGTTCGGCTTCCACGCTTGCTGGGAAGCTGCTTTGGTTGGGCCGGATGGGCCAGGGGAACCGAGCTCCATATGCTCGAGCCAGAAGCGCGCTTGCGTCTCCGAGTAAGGCGGCACGCTGGGGTGGGCTGTGCGCAGGCGCGCGGTGGTCGTCTCAAGCGTGTTGAGGGCCAATCGGGTGAGAGTCACTAGTGGGAGGGAGAGCTGCCTGCGACGCGTGCGCGCGACACTGTAGGCCCAGCGAGGGAGTTTCGTGGCGTGTGCGCTGCCACTGGTAAGTGGTTGCTGGCGCGGCTGGCCCAGCGGGGAGGAGGAGTCGGGCAGGTCTTGGAGGTCGGGCAGGCGGTAGAAGCGGGCTGTAGCGGGTTGGGCGAGGAAGGCAGCGGAGTAGTAGGAGCGCCATGTGGAGGAGTGGAGGAGCGCACGGTGCGTGGCGTAGAAGGCGGGGAAATCCGAGGGGGAGGGGAAGTCGCCGGTGAGTTGGGCGGAGGAGCGGTAGATGGCCGCTGCGAGCTGGGCGAGGTAGAAGATATCCAGAGTGCTGTGATTATCGGTCTTCTTAGTTCAGTCACATTGGGGGCCCGGTAACATACCGATTAAACCTCAACTCGCCCTCGCCAAACGACCGCCCGCGCGCGTGCAGCTTCTCTACAACATCGAACACGCCGTTGCCCTCCCACAGCCCCTCATCCATATAGATAAAAGCTATCTGCAACACGCGATCATGGCAGTCCACCGGCACCGCGCCGCGTTCGACATCCGCGAGGAATTCCTCAGCACTCATGGCGGACCCTCTGATAAGTCAATAATGATACTCAGGAAATATGCATACGAATATGAGGTCCTTGCTTGGTATGCCGGGGATCAGGATGTAATTGATAGGATCATAACGATCATGCCAAGAAGGGATCTGGAAGCAAAAACCTTTCGACCACTGTTGGAACTAGAGATGAGAAAAACAATTTCGAATCTCACAACTTCAGAGTCAGACCAAAATATGAAGATTTTGAAAGCTTCTATATTTGTCTAAAAGATTTCTAATCGGCTGATTATATTTACGGAAATACGTCCCAACAACCAAAAAAAAAATAAAAAAAAAAAAAAAAACACACAACTTGACAAAACGAGACGAGCTCTGCCTCCCTGGACGAAACAGCCCACATTGAAAATAGACCAAAGTTATGCGATTGTTCGAAATACACTAACCAGATTAAGTACATGCGGGTATATCCAGAGTCCCGAGTCAGTCCATTCAGCATACCATTTTGGACTTGTTTTAAATCATAAGACAGATATATATCAGATAGTTCCAAACTAAGACATTCTACTAATTTCTTCAGCCTCAAGAGGTAAGCATCAACTAGATGGTTTCTATCGATGACGGAGAGAGCCCAATCACCACAAGAGCGTCACGTCGCCTTACCACGCCAGGGGTGCTCCACCCCCCAGTTCTCTGCGTGCTCGCTGTAAGGCACCTAATCTAGGGCTTAGGCGATACAGGGCATTTTCACCAAAGAACCAACATTACCCGCGAGTTGCCTCGCCGCTAGAACCTACTAAGTAGCGCACTGAATAGTCTAAAGCCAAAGGCCAAGCGTCATATGAGCTGCATCTTCAGTTTTCTTCTCTCCTAGTCCAATCATCCTGCGTCTAGACCGGCCGTGAGAGAGCCTAGAAGCGACCCAGGGGCTGCGGACGGTGGTTCTCAGTCAGTCACCCCTGCTGTCCCAGCTCGCCGAGGACTGGTGTCATTGGCCTTTTCGCCATGCTAAAGGTGGATCCCCTCAGTGGCCTTGATTGAACCCCGACCCTTCTCTGTGGACCCCACAGTGGGTTTCCTATTCGACCACACTATCTCTACCGATGTAACCGTGGTTACGCCTTGACGACGGTCCTAGCTTATCGTTTGGTAAATAAGAACCCGGCCGCGTCTCTTTATTGCTTCCTTACGAAAGTCTTGACCTCTCGAGTCATGATAAGTCGACCGACGCAAATCTGATATGGAAGAGTCAAAGAACCATTTGAACGCTGAGTGAGCTTGAGAACACGAACAGAATCACAAATATAGTTTATATACTAAGCCTCATCTAAGGATATTAATGTCTGGCATTGTGAAGCTAGATGTGGGTGAGTCTCGAGCTCCCTTTGATGTGCACCTGGAGCTACTGTGTGTCTGCTCCCCATACTTTGACCACTTATTTCGGCAGCGTACCAAGAAATCGCTTGATGACCAGGCTATCCATCTTCCGGACTTCGAACCAGATCTCTTCGCGGAAATCGTTTTGTGGATGTACTGCGGCAAGCATTCTCTGGGAGGACTTCAAAGGAAGAAGATGGATTTTCTACTGAAATTGTGGCTCTTGGCCAAGAACCTTGAGATCCTAGAGCTACAAGACGATTTGATGCCGCTTTTGAAGGGACGAGCCGAGGAAGACGCCCGAGAGATTCTATGCAACGACGCAGTCGGACTCATCTACACTCAAACTTTGCCCCACAGCCCTTTACGGTACCTGGTGGTAGATATCTACATCAGTGCTTCTAAAGCGGAGCGCAACGCAATAAATGTCCAGGAATCTCCCCGTGAGTTTCTTGAGGAGGTCTGTTCGGCCCTAACGGATGAAGCAAAGGAATGGATCGGGCTTCCATTACGTTCGCTCGGCCAAACAAATCGCTACTACGTCAATAATTTATCGGCACAGACAGAATTTGCCCATGGCCGAGATATAGCCGAAATAAAGCAGATTGCAACCCCGGCACAGATGAGCCGTAGAAAAGTTAAAAACCTTCCAACCCGCCACAAAGGAACGCATGCAGTACAGTGATCATTCGGCAAAGAAAACGAAGTGAAGGCATCTGCAGAGCTGCCGCAAAATGAGCATAGGTGTTTTTGTTCCAATAAGCTACAGAGAAGATCTGAAGACCGGTTTTTCTTTCTGGCTGGATTATGAAGGCTGATATCGAGCCGGGTGAATACTAAGACCACTATAGAATCCCATACCAGTTGTATCTTGATGCTAAGCTTCCCGTGTCCAACTTGTCTATTCATTGAGCAGACAGAACTCAGGACTCGCTTGTGTATATCTCAATTTCGATCAAAGAATTTTACCGTCCGACCGAGGTCATGAAGGCTCATACGGAGTGATTATAGAGCTGACATAGTAGGAGTCTACCCAACATATTTTTACCATTCGTTGCATGTCCATAAATAACCTCTAAGTATCTGGTGGGACTCACCCCAACGAAATCTGGTTTTGTCTCATAATCGGTCATACATTAACAGATTTGTTCAAATGTAGTGGTCACGAACAATCATTCAAATGCATGTCAGATAAAAATATCCCATCACAGTACTTGCTTCATAGCAGAGATCAAGCATTATAGTAATTTGGGTGTTTAAGCCGCTGACCAAACGTTGTGCCTTTTGGCCCGGTGGCGCATAAAATCCATAAAATCTAAGCATCCACGAACCGTCACAACCCCGGCCCGATTCAACATGCAAATCCTAGGCCACCATTGAATCACTCCGTGGTGTACTAGGTGCTACGAATGGTTTCCGTCAACATTTTCCAGGGCGGATTGGTTTCATTGTTCAGGCACCAGGCACAGCCAACACGAAGTACGGGTGGCAGTAAACGGGGCCGGCCGTGGGCTTTGACACACGTGACGCCAAGACCGCCCTCAGTGAGCCAGAGGCCTAAAACGGTGTCCAAAGCGGCTATTTCTGGCCTCCCACTCACCGTGTCATGCATATTTGGAGTAAAAAAAGATAACAGATATCTTAAAATTAGACTACTCAATAATATCGAGCTTTATCTTATATACTAAGAATGTAATCGATTTATAAGCACAGTAGAACCCTGTAAATAGATTTAATTAATTAAGAAAATTATATATTGGCATTTAGTTTATATTGTCTGGAACCAATATACACTGTGCACGGAACGGTTCCGAGCACCGCTAGAACTCGCCCTGTCGACGACAAGTTGCCCCACATTTAAGTCAACTATCTAATCGGATCGGAAACGCGTTCTGCGGTCATTCCGAGTCACAATTTCTCTTTCCTTCTCCGCCTCATTTAAGTCTATATATCCCCTCGGCCAGCTTGTCGCATTCTATTTCCCTGTAGTCCAACCCCTAATCGCTATCACTGAGCCTTCCTGTTGCAATTGGCTTCTCCGTGACTCCCGGCTGACTGCGAACAACTTGACCAACCAGAGATGGACAGCGAACAGTTCAGAGCCGCTGCGCACGCAACGGTAGATGACAGTCAGCACTGACTCTCCTTGACCAATAATATATATACACTAACTATATCACCAGTTATCAACTATTTTGACAGTGTCCCCGACCAGCGCGTCTGCCCCACCGTCGACCCAGGCTACCTCCGTCCCCTCATCCCCGAGCAACCCCCCTCAGAACCGGAAGAATGGTCGCAAATCCAAGCCGACGTCGACACCAAGATCAAACCGGGTCTGACGCACTGGCAACACCCTAACTTTATGGCCTTTTACCCCGCGACGGTGACCTACCCCAGTATCCTGGGTGAGATGTACTCGGCCGCGTTCAACGCCCCCGCATTCAACTGGCTGTGCTCCCCGGCCTGCACCGAGCTGGAAACAATCGTTTTGGACTGGGTGGCACAAGCATTGAACCTCCCCAATTGCTTTATGAGCTCTTCGGAGAACCGTGGCGGTGGTGTGCTCCAGGTCAGTGCCAGTGACACTATCGCCACCGTGATGGTGGCTGCTCGGGAACGGCGGGTCCGTGATCTGGCATTAGCCGAAGGCTTGAAGGAGGGAACGCTCGAGTACGAGGACCGGGTGATGGACCTCCGACCGAGATTGGTTGCGATGGGAAGCAACCAGGCGCACAGTAGCACCGCAAAGGGTGCATTGATTGCCGGCACGCGGTATCGGAGTGCCACCCCCAAGCTGGAGAATAATATGGAGCTAACTGGAGAGGATGTGCGGGCTGTTCTGGAGCAATGCGACAAGGACAACCTGACCCCATACTATATCACCCTTAGCATGGGAACGACGAGCACGTGTGCTGTGGATCGCATCTCCGAGATCACGGCCGTGCTCCGGGAGAAGCCTTCTTGGCAGCGGATTTGGGTGCACATCGATGCGGCATATGCCGGTTCGGCCCTGGTCACGGATGAGTTCCAGTATCTCGCCAAGGAGCTTGCGGAAGGCGTCGACAGTTTCAATTTCAACATGCATAAGTGGTTGCTGGTCAACTTTGATGCAAGGTGAGCGCTGCGCAGAACTGTCTTTGGTATATTGGCACTAACATTTACAATAGCTGTCTCTTCATCCGCAACCGATTCGATCTCACCGATGCCTTGGACATCACCCCCGCGTACCTGCGCAACCCCTACTCTGAATCTGGGCAAGTGATTGACTACCGCAACTGGAGCATTTCTCTCGGCCGCCGATTCCGCGCGTTGAAGATCTGGTTCGTCATGCGTAGCTACGGCCTCAATGGACTCAAAGCACACGTCCGGAAAACTATCCGCGTAGGCGAGGAGTTCACAAGCCTGGTGCGCAGCCGATCAGATCTTTTTGAAATCATCACCACTCCCGCATTCGGCTTGACCGTCTTCCGCATCAAGGACACCAGAACACAGGCCAATGGGTCCGCAGTCAACGGAACTACTGTTGCAAAGCCGAATGAAAAGCACGACGCCCTCACAAAGGAAGTCTACGAGCTTATCAACGCGCGCGGCGAGATCTTCATCACTTCCACTGTTGTCTCGGGTATTTATGCAATCCGCGTGATCTGCGCCAACGAAGCGGCGGAAGAGAAGTACCTCCGGCGGGCGTTTGAGATTCTCATTGAGACTACGGACGAGGTGCTGGGTCGGTCGAATTGAGCATGATTCATGATGCTTGGTTGATGATGAATGTGAAACGATCTCTATAAAGTAAACTCTGTTTTGTCTGTTCTAGATATTAGATGAACTATATATATATCCCTCAATTGGATACACATGTTTATGGTCATTTTTATGGCTTCATTCTATCCAAACAGTGTATGCAGCACCCCAATCATCAGTAGTAGGGGACAACAATGCCATGTACTCGTACCTCGGACACGTTCCGAGATCATCGGCGTATCTCCGTTATCCCCACATCAGATATCAACATTTGCATTGACACAATCACACCTTAACCATACACCTCCGCTCATCAAACCATAAAATGTCACCCTCAACCCCAAAGTAAACTCCCAAATCCCAACACCACACACACTCTAACAACACGCAGACACATCCTCGTAACAGGCGCGACAGGCTTCATCGGCGCCCATGTAGTCGACAACCTGCTAGCCGCGGGCTAAGCGTCCGCGCCGCAACACGCTCCGCACAAAAAGGCGAGCAAATGAAAGCCGCAAGGCCACAGCACGCCTCCCGGCTCGACTTCGTCGAGATACAAGACTTCTCGCAGATCGGAGTCTTCGACGATATCATGGAGGGTATAGACGGGGTCATTCACGTCGCGAGTGTACGTCACATCCACCTTCCAGGTCTGATCCTTTCTAACTGATCCCAAAAGCCATTCACATACGACACCACAAACAACGAACAAGAACTCATCATCCCGGCCATAAACGGAGTGAAATCCATCCTCTCCGCCTCGGCGAAACAACCCAGTGTGAAGCGCGTTGTCCTCACTTCGTCGTTTGCGTCCGTGGTTGATATCTCCAAGACCTATGATGGTGACTTTACTTACACCGGTTCCCATTGGAATCCCCTGACGTACGAAGAAGCGATCGACCCCGCCACTGACGCGGTGGTAGCGTACCGGGGATCGAAGAAGTTTGCCGAACTAGAAGCCTGGCAGTTCATCGAGCGGGAGAAGCCCTCGTTTGATCTCGTTACGCTTTGTCCGCCCATGACCTTCGGCCCTGTCGTGCATCCTGTAAGCGGTGTAGCGGGGTTGAACGAGTCGAATGCGGTGCTGTGGAGTGTGGCTTCCGGGGCGGATCCGTTGCCCGTTGCCAGAGTTTCCGCGTGGATTGACGTGAGGGATTTGGCAGAGGCGCATGTGCAGGCTTTGTTGAGGAGTGAGGTTGGTGGGAAGCGATTTGTGCCTGCTTCGGGGGAGCCGTTTTCGTATGAGTTGGCGGCGGATATTATTCGGGGAAGGTTTGAATGGGCGAGAGATACGGTTACCGGGAATTACGAGACTGGGAAGAAGCCTGTTCAAGGGTATAAGTTGGATGGGGAGGCTGTGATGAGGGAGTTGGGGGTCAGGTTTCGGAGTTTCGAGGAGACGGTGGTAGATTTGGTGGGTCAGGTTAAGGAGACTCTTGTTTGAGCTTGTTGGGGTTGTTTATAGATAGGGCATTTGAGTATATGATGCGATATACGGTGGATGTTGTGTATGTGTCCTGATTTGGACATCCACAAGAAGAGAATATGTTTAGTATGCCTTCTAGTGATATGCCAAGGGAGGCAGCATTGGCTTGCGTGCCGGGGTGGACATCAGTGTGTATTAGATGTCACAAGAGACAGTTTCAACCTACGAAAGGACGCTCCCTGAACCAGTAACAACAGGCCACCTACCGTGTACTTCCCATGGACTATGCAAAAACACGATGAGCAAAACGTGTGGTTCTTAGAAAGTCATACAGTGTAGCCCTGAAAGCAAAGCAGTAGGTCACCAATGGTTTAGTGGGACTAACTCGCAAGACAAGTATTCTAAGTACGAAGCAAAACGGCAAAACGAAAAACAAACGGCCCGAGCTGCAAATAAAACGGGACCTCTCGCAGATATGTTAGGCTATTTCCCGAAGCGAGAATCATGTTAATGCTTAATCTGACTGAGGGATTAGTAAGACATATTCCAAGCCTGACCTATTGTGTGTTAGCCATAACCCTTATATTCACTACATATTCGCGTTGATATATTTGTTAGATGTATGGTTATTGCATGCTCGTTATTGATAGGACGAGCAGGATGTCAGGGCGTGGTAATGTGTTGATAATCATTGTGCGCTTTTTAAGAGAGAGACAAAATCGTCAAGGGATATACATATATCTTAGGGCTGAGCACGATGCATGCTATAAATACGGTGGCACAAACACAAAGCCTGGCCAACAAAAGCAACACACATGATATATCCTGGGAACGGCAAGCTTACGGTAAGGTAAGGGAGTACAAAGGGAATACGTCCATGTCTTGTCCTCACTCCCGTTTAGTGCAATTACTGTCCAAAGCAATTAGATAGACTTAGCAACCTACCCGCCGGGAAGACTCTCAACTCCTGTCAAAGCAGAAATTATGTAATATATGTTAGTTACTTTGCGCTTTGGCCTCTACAAAGCGTCCGGCGTCAGACGATCACTAACAAAGCTGACCGCCTTTGTTATTGCGGACGATCTTCTAAACAAGGCTGCGTACGGAGGCAAGGATACGAGGATTCCCACCCATGTGTTCAGTCAATGCCAGCCATACGAAGAGCCCATCATGCCAGAACCATTCGAATATAGCCCTTTGCCAGGACCAACATTCACCCGCTTGGTATCCTTGGTGGCTCAGGATGATGCCAGCCGTCTTCCTTCTCAGGGTGAGCCGCTGCTCCAGCTATCGCTGTGCACGGTGGACCTGCAGGATGCCCCGCAGTATGAGGCTCTGTCATACACCTGGGGCTCGCCATTCCCTCAAAAGGACGTAAGATCAAGATCTTACGACGAAAAGAACGACAAACGGCAAGTACTAGTCAATGGTCGCGTTCATGAGATTAGACGGAATCTCTGGGAGTTCTTACATCAACAGCAGCAGGCAAATGCCGATATCATGGAAGAGGCTGCCGAAATGCTTGCCTCGGGATTAGACACTTATGGGCGGACTCCATTAATGCGCGCTGTCATCGATAGAAGATTCGATCTGACAGAGGCCTTGCTTGCGCTGGGCGCCGAGATAGGCGCACAAGACAGGCAGGGAAAGACGGCACTCCATTACGCTGTTCCAAGTAACTTGAATATTGAACTCGCAGAGCTACTGGTCTATCATGGCGCGGACATCTCTGCGCGGACACGAGAAGGGAAAACGCCACTGGACCACGCAATGGACGAGGTGGCTGCGCTGATGAAGTCCGTCAGCAAAGACCTTGGCCGAAAGCCCTGGCCGAACGGCCTGCGACTGTCAGCACAGAGGCCTATGTGGATTGATGCTATTTCGATCAATCAGGAGGACCTAGCTGAGCGCAATACCCAAGTCGCTCTGATGTCGAATATATACAGCAATGCCATTTCTGTTGTTGTATGGCTCGGCGTGGAGGACGAGCGCATCCATCTTGGGCTGGAACCCCTTGAAAGGGATCCCCAGCCCTGGTTATCCTATACTTCAATGAGAGATGTGGGGCTCACAGGCTTTGGACTAGGAGCGCTCGCGCGCTCAGACTGCGATACTAAAGATATACTAGATATTCTGGCTATTGAGAAGCTTATGGAAAGGACGTGGTGGTCCCGAACCTGGGTTATCCAGGAGCTGGCGCTGGCGAAGCGTACTCTGTTCGTTTGTGGCTCAATCACAACTCAACACATAAAGACTGCTTTCCTGCTACTCTTGCTGTGCTATCTTCCTTCTCCAGGGGTACCCAGGCAAAATATGATCTCCATTACAGATATTATGGCTATCTTTGAGAGTGTACGGCTTTCAGGAGTGCACGGCATCGAAGCACTTATGCTTGCCAATATCTGTTGCAGAAGCTCTGCATACGCAGGGGTGCGGGAACTCCTCTTGAAGAGCTTGTTAAAACAGAGAGATAAGGCGCCTAGCATTTCCTGGGGGCAAGGGCTAAGCCTGCAAAACCTCGTAAGGCTAAGCTGGTGGTCCCAGGCCAGCGACCCGAGAGACAAGGTCTTCGCGTTACTAGGAATTGCCTGTCCAGATCCACAGGGCCAGCGGATTACCGTAGATTACAAGATGTCCACAGTGGACGTGTTTGTTCAGTTCGGTCACGTATTCATGCAGGGCTCAACAGACCGCATCCTGGACTTATACGCTGGCGACTACTATGTTTTTGAGCCCCTGGAGGGGCTTTCCTATGTTCAGGATGCCCCAGACCCTCATCCCAGATTCCAGGACTACAAATCGCAACTTCCATCGTGGACCCCGAACTTCAGCGCACATCCAGCAACATGCCGCATCTGGTCCCAGAGATTCAGCGCAGCCTCAGATATATCCAACAGCTCACCAATTCTTCCCCACTCGGACCCCAGAGTCTTGTGTGTCACTGGGCATATGGTCGACGATATTGTAGCAACGGTGCCGAAGCTAGGCAAGGGTGATGCACACGAACCTGAGATACTGGCCTGGTTGGAATTGATACAGCCCTTGAATCCGAACTACCTGGGAGGGGGCAGCTGTGTGGACGCTCTGTGGCAAACGTTAACCGTTGGTAAAGAAAGCGAGAATAAAAAGGCCACCCGTAAGGACTTCCGAAGATTTCTGGCAGGGAAACTCTATCAGTCTCCGATGAATCCTCGATTACAAAAGGTACTCACGCCACTGCGCAAGTCTCGCGCACGGGAAACTTTGCCATCATATCAGGAGCTCCTCGTAGAAGAGCAGGAGCTTGATAAACTAAAGAAGCGCCTCCTGGTAATACTGGAGGGGCGACAGAAGACAGTAGAGGGGGACCAGGAAAAAGAGCAGAGGCTCATGAAACTAGTGCAGGAGGTCCAGGAACAAGGGCGTAGTGTTCAGGAACAAAGGAAGTGGCTCCGTAAAAGAGTGCAGGAGAGCTTGGAACTAGTCCAGGGGCTCCAGGAACGATGGCAGGGGCCAGTAGAGCTGGAGCTGGAACTAGCGCAGGAGCACCTGAAACTACTGGCGGAGGGGCTGCAAGTCAGGGCCGTTAACTTTCGTCCGCTAGGGAGTTTTAGCACTCTGTTGAAGTGGTATTATAGGTCCAGATGCTTGTTCCGAACCAGGCAGGGCTATATTGGTCTCGGGCCTGCGGGTGTACAACCCGGAGATGAAGTCTGGCTGTTTGCTACTGCACGGACACCTTTTGTTCTCCGTCAACCATCGCAAGGGTCGCTGGGAAGGCAGACTAGAAGTTCGACTTCCTCAACACCGGAAGGTGAATTCCGGACATTCATCGGAGAGACTTACGTTCATGGAATTATGAATGGGGAAGCGATGCGTGAAGGTGACTTTCGCCCGGTGTTACTAGTATAATTGCGACCACGCCGACGGTTCCCTACTGGTTAGCCTCATATACCTGCAGGACGAGAAACAGCGTGTAGTGATCTTATACCAGTGCCTTGTATTTGTACCACACCCCACTAGCGGGTATTGTTGGGGAAACGCATAGCTGACCGGACAAGCAAAAGGATCGGGGTCGGCGTGAGTCTACGCCAAGAAGCCTCTCCTACTCCAATATAACAATGTTTGTTTTTGTAGCCAGAATAAATGCCGCGGTCCGAGCTGGCAGCCCCTATGCGCTAAGATTATACTTTAGTAGATAGACAAAGAAGTGGATCCAGTATTTCTTTGACTTTGGTGGCTCCAGACCTTAAATCTTTGAGATATAATCTATCTACCGAGTGTCCCCGCACTTTCATCTTATATCTGCGGGGCTATTGAGTTTAAAAGTGTCACGAACTTGGGGCTCGAATGTTGACTCTGTAAGGTAATTTAGTTTAACGCCTGATTCCACAGGGCGCGCAACTTCACGTAACTCTGTCAGCACAGAAACTCTTGGAAGACCTTGCCAGTGAAACGTTCTTCGAGTGATATCCTAGAGCGGCGATGATGACACCAGTGCCATGGGTACATGAGTCTGTGTGCGATAAGCTGTGGGCCGGGAATGCTGGCCAGACTTGCAGTCCGATAGTTAGAACAGAAACAGAAAAGTCAAATAAATTAAGGTTCATAATATAGTAGACATACTATGTGGAGACGGGCAGCCATGTCCGTATTAGAGAATTAATCTAGAGGAGTATACATACTAAGTCTTAGTGGCTAAGCTAAGAGGTTAATATGAGAGTTTTGGTATGAGAGCATGAATGGTAACTCGCTAATCATTCTATTTATCATAAACTCACTCCAGTAACGCGGCTATGGGCAGCATTCGCCCACTGCTCACGCTTCTGGTATCGATCTTCGAGCAAGGTATGCTGGCTCTGCTATTATGATGGTCATGCCTTAATGGATCAAGGCATTACTCAACACCCGAGGACAATAGCTTGCATTGAATGACAGGATACTATTTTACTCATGATTTAATTCCAGGCCGCGAAAGAGTATAGTTATATCAGTACATAGGGATATGAAATGTTAGGCAGACAATGTTGTCTGTTGGTCAGATGCTTGGCGCGCTTTCTAAGTCTCGAATGTTGACTCTGGAGAGTTCAGCCTGTTGCTGGACAAGGTTTGATTGGCTGCATGCTTGTAATATTCCGAAGGTAACGAAACTATTTAGGTCTGGCCCAATAGGACTGCTTTACTTATACCTGAAAACACTAAAAAAGTTGTATCTCCCCAAGATAAGTCCCCACCGTACCCACAACACAATGGAAGCAAGTACCCCCCAACAAAAATCCTCAACGCCGAGATAATGACAAATGACAAGATACATATATATCCCGTTCCCATTGTCCTGCCTTATAGATCATCTCTGATCACACCTCGTCTTAAAAATGATTGTAGACGAGGTTCTACCCAATGAGTAGAATAGAGTCTTGAGGGAGACCATTCGATCCGACCGATCGTGATGTTTTCCACAGTATTGTATGAATGTCTCTTCGTGGAGTCGGTCGGTCCTCTTTTAACATGGTATGCCCGTCTGTCCGAAGTTCTCGTGCAGGCCCAAGTAGTCATGGTGGCTGATCGCTCAGGTAAACGGAGCGATTAATTTCAGTCATCTACCGAGTCGCTCGTCACTTGTTGGTCGGAAATACTCAGTTTCCGAAGTATGTTATTTTGCTTTGAAATGGCTCTGGGACATTTGTCAGTGGAGTGGTTTCAGAAATCCCCCGATTCCCACTTACCGAATAGCTCCACAAAACCTATCGGCCGTGCGCGTTGACACCTATCTGGAGAGCAGTCCATTTCCTGTTCGCAGAGGATCGAAGAACGATCTCTGGCGTAAGACCACAGGGAACTTCCGTGGGAGAGGCTGGTGTGTATTGTAGGAAACAGCTCAGTACATCCAGGGAGTATTGCTGGTAGGCGTAGGAGAGTGGCGTATTGCCGTCATGGTCTCGGATGGACCAATTAGCACCTCTCTTGAGGAGGAGCTCGACAACGGGGAGAGAGGATAGCTCGGCTGCGATGTGTAAGGCTGTTTGGCCTCGGTTGTCGGTTATTGATGGCTCGATCCCATAGTTGAGTAGTAGTTCGAGGACCTTCACATCTTTGTGGAGTGCTGCTAGGTGGAGGGCTGTCCGACCCTCGGCATCCTTGGCAATAAGGACTGATTTGTCTCTGAGATATTCAGTCTCAATGGCTGTTGCATCACCGACGGTGGCGGCATGGAGAAAAGCGTTGTTGATAGCCATGGCTAGGGACGACGAATCAAAGAAAGGCGAAAAATAAAACAAAGGAATTCAGCTTCAGGCGAGTGTAGAGAATGTGAAGATTTCAACTCTGGCTGATGCAGGAGGACATTGCTCTCTTTTTATTTCAAAGATCAACAAGGTTAAGGAGCTTGTGACTAGCTGCAGTTACCACCTCGTACTCCTATTATAGGACCGGAAGGCTATACCTTGAGTAACCGACGCAATATGCCGTACACCTGTCGCCTTTTGACACCCCCTACAGAAACGGAGCAATTTCCCCCCGATGTCAGGGTTCTGCTTGCTTTGTTCAGAGTCCATCACATGCCCACCTGCCATTCTTGGACGAAAGGTGATCTCGGAGTCCATGGATTGAGTCCCGAATTCTACGGGACTTGTGGGGTATCCACTCTCGACGCACAAGAGATGCGATGGATGGTTCGACGGTCGAGTCAGTGATCGTAGTCAAACCGTGCACGTGGCAATCTGATTCGCTCTGCTTAGCTTTCGTGTCGAGGCCGAGCTAGTTTAGCTGCTTCGCGTCATGAGCTAAGGTTACCTTGGTATGGGTCGATTTGGAACGATGGGCCGGAAAGTGGAGACAAAGCGGGACAACGGTGTCCAGAGTGTCCAGCACAGTTAAGACTCTACTGAACCGACAGAGTCCTGGGCTGGAGTGATGGGTAAACTCCGGAGTACGCCTTCTCCAGAACTCCAGTCATCTCCAGACTCCGCAGAGGGTCTGGAGAGTAGGAAACAGCCAGGGATGATACCAAGTCGATCCCCACGGGATAACAGTGCGTTCTCAATATCCATGCTTAGAGGACACCGTCTAGAGAGAAGCTAGACTGGTCTATCTGCTCGTCTTGGCTTATGAGACAGCCTTACCGATGATTGCCAAATCTTAATCTAGGCGAGATTCTGAACAGCGAGTTTAAAATGAGCCTAATGCGCATCCCAGGTGGGGCACCAACCAGTCGCTCCTCGCACATGGGGGTTCCTGAGTTCTCTGACTGGCTTCCTGATCTTAATTTAGTCTCTTCCAACTAGGACCTACGCATTGCGATTTAACCCGAAGGAGTTCTCGCCGTTCCGACGGAGGACGGCGACAGTAATGTCCGCTAGAGATTATTACTGTGCAGCAATACCGACAGGCATTCTTGGCGCGGGGTTCGAAGAAAAGTACGAAAAGTAACAAAAAATTCTGTTAACTTCTCCCTGTTACCCCTGTTGATATTCCTTCACAGACGGCATGGTCAATCGTCTCAAATACGTCAGAATCTCAGATCATTGATGGGTTTGTTTATAGTGCGTGTCCTCGGCTTCGGTGGGCCGATAAACCTTCACACTCCAAAGCTTGTCCGATTCTTGGCTTTCTTGTCCTTCTCAAATGTGGCGCGGGCGAAGGCGGACCATGGAAGTATGCACGATAAATGGGACGATGGATTTCTGTCAAGCTCGCATAGAATCCTGTCAACCTATGATAAGTGTGTCTTGACCCTCTGCTGTGCGGTGCTTTTCATCTGTGCTGTCGCATTGTTAGTTCAGGTATGTTCCGCCGGTGATCATCGATGGGGAGAATCTCACGCAGAAAGATTAACTCGACATAGGCTTGTCGTATCTTGGTCGACATCGCTCGAAAAGAACGCCTTTGGCGACAAGAAGAATATCTAGCGCAAGAGGAGCTGCTAATGTCAGCCCTCGAAGCTGGCTATGGAAAAGCCGCCACCCTCCCCCGATATGCGACTCGTTTCGGCGACCTTTCGGAACAGGAGATCGATAGGAATGGTGTAAGGAAGGTTGTTCTGGTGGTAAATGAGACCTATGCGACAAATGCAGCCCAGGATGCGTACGCGGATTGGTTCGTGAGGTGGTGTCATCTCCAGGAGGAAGCCTCGAATTATGCCGTTGAGGGGTCCTCGGATGGGATGTCTCCTCTCATTGATGTGGGATCTCCGACGGCATCACGGTATTTAGGTGACGTTGTGCCTTCATCACAGGGGCCTTTAGATCGGATAAGCCCCCTCATCGACGTTGGTTCCCCGGGAGTCCAACAGGATTTGGATGGCCTGGCGACCTCACCGCGGCCTCTTTTGGCTGATTGATACGAGGGTGTGATCGGACAGAACATTGTGCCCTCATTTACCTGTTCACTCTTTCCCCTGCATCGCTTTCGCAAGACTGGAACTTGGAAATTATCCGAAACCCAGAGGTCATGGCTAGGCTGGCACTGAGAAAATCACACCTGCCGTGCCTTCATGCTCATCTGCCTGGGATATCGGGCTAAGGTTGGCTGCCAAACTGGACACCATGCGCATCATCAATGCAGCCTCCGCGTCATCGAAAGAGTCGTGGCGCAAGTGTATTTGTCTCGAAGAGTATCTCTAACAGATACTGTCGCAATTGTTCCTTGACAGAGATTCCGTGATCGTATAATGGTCACAGTATTGGAAAAGAGACAGCGGCTATCCTTTGGTTCACCCGTCAATGTTAGGAAGCATTCAAAATCGACGAGTTCCATGAGCTGGCAAGGGATCTCAGCCAGGGTAGAGGACATCGCAAATGCCTGGTGCAGCCTATTCAGGAAGGTACATACGTGCTTAATGGATAACAGATACGCATTCTAGCTCCTCCCAATCAATCACTGTCGTCACTCGATAGGTACATTGGATTGTTACTAGCTCAACTTGGTTATATCTTCCACATCAGTGAGTGTATATCATTAGCGAGCCTAGTCTCTGGCTATCACTATAGCTTTTCATGACGACCGGACCCTAGATCTCAGGGGACAGCAGGACCCAAGCAAATACAAACCTCGGCAAAGTGGCTCGCTTCCAAAATAGCTTATGGAGGCTATCCAAGGCAACCAAAGGTGTCTATATACCCGTCTAAGTCGCGTTGAGCACCGGGAAGCCAGATTTATACTGACATTTAAGACTCCCTTATAGAATATCCATCTTCTATATCTTCATAATAGTAATCTAAGCATCGGGCGGATCTTTCACCACTATAAATAAGATCTCAGGTCGGAGAAGTGACCTAACCAGGCCAACAACTTCATCAAGCCCACAGTACACCAAGAGCTAAGTACCAACGTACATGCCCTGATACCTAGACAAAGGCCTAAGCCATAACGCATTATTCATGAACATCGTGGAATTTGTAAGTTGCAATTTATTAATTCACCTTTAAGATCCGCCAAATGGTTAATATGGTACACTCTGCGCCGTCTGCTGCATGAGATGTTCTAGCTGAGCAATGGATTGCTGCAGCTCTTCCTCGGTAGGCAAGTTGACAATAAGCAAGTAAAGCACATCCTGCTGCAAAACCTTCTTGGCCAGGCCGGGCTTCTTCTTACACTGATATCGCTGCCACTTCTCTTTAATCGGTTCACTTGGAGGTTCACCACGGGCAAGCCTCTTGACTTCTTGTGATTCCTTGATGGAATTCGTAGCCCGTTCAATTAGACCCGGCTTGCTTCCCAGCAGGCCCCCAGTGAGCACGGAAGTAAGCTTTCCATTGTTCACCGCGTGATTCGGGTCGTTGTAGCGTGAAACAAAACCCTTGCGTCCTGACTCAGGAACGGCTAGAGAGGACCCTGGGGTTTTCGCTTCCTGGCTCCTGTTAGCGAAGCTATAGTCGCTAAATATTATTAAATTAGTACTCACGTATGAGGCCTGCACCTTTCTATCGAAGTAATCCTGCACCCAACTTCCTGCGCTCTTCATCCTCTCTCGAGTCCCCTCGTCCTCCTCTCCCTTGCCCTCCATCTCCCGTGCTGCGGCGTGATCTAAATCGGGATATACCAACAGCGCAGCGTCGGGAAGCTCGATCTGGCCGTGTGTCTTACCGCTGGCCAGTCTGATATTTTTTAGACGCTTTTTGGCCATGTTCATGTCAGGGTGCTGGTCGGTGTGGGTATATTTCGCGACGGTCGGGGCTGGATCGAACGTTGATTTTGCGACTGGCCGATTGATATCAACCTTTTTGAATCCAAAGAGTGTCTTGCCCAGCTTTTGAGATAGTAGGTCAAGGGCTCCCTGCTGCTGTCCGGGGGCTTCGTCTGTAAATGCCATGACCATAGCGAAGAGACCACGAGGCATAAATAAGTCTTGGTTCACGCGGTCAAGAAAGGTGTTCGCGCGGCGACGGGACGGAATCTCACGAGCCGTCCCTGCCACCGTTTGGGCGATGATGCTCGTTATTTGCGCTGCTGTTTCAGGGAAGAAGCCCACAATGCCAGCAGCGACATAAACGACCTCGATCCACTTCGAAGCCTGCATCCACCGCTGTCAACAACTATACCTCTACTACGAAACAGAAGAATAACGGAGTCCGTGGCCAACCAACCTTGCTCGCTTGAAAGAAATCCTCTAGAAACTTCAGAAACACATGCTGGCTAACACCGCAATCGGCCAACACCGGTGCATACGCACGCACAAACCCGCGATCCTTGTTGCCGGGCCGGCGCTGGGGAATGATCACAGGAGACGGAATCCGCTGCACCGTCTGAACTGGCCCCGCCAATTGCACAAGACCATAAACCATATTCTCTTGCTGTTCCTCCTTGTCCTCCTCGGTTTGACTTGCAGCCGCGGCTAAAGGTTCTGATTCTTCATAGGTCGGCAACCGTACACTCTGAGCCGTCTCGTCGAGCTCCCAGACTGCCTCATCTTGATTGACTCCGCGGTCCGCATCGCCGGAGTAGTTGGGTTTGCTATCTACGTTCGAGTCATACTCCGCCTCGGCGGCTTTGTTGTTCTCATTGTCGTCGGAATAAGCCGGCAGCTCTGCAGGTGCATCGGGATAGGCTTGTAACTCTGCATGTCCATCAGGGTAGACCGGTAGCTCTGTGTATCCGTCACGAATGAGTGCATCAGCCGTATCGTTGTTGGCGACAATATACTCGCCACCCTCGGCAGGAATGCTACGAGGCGTGGAAGATGCAGACACATTGCCATCGTTAGATGAGCGGTTGCGGGCAGCATGGATCGCTTCAGAGGTGAAGCCGATACCCGAGCCTATGAGTTTGACAAGTATACCCATGATTGTAAGTCCCGTAATATGAATCTGACATTCGAAGGGTTTCTGGAAGACAGCGGGTATTCTACGGGTCTTATACTGGATGAGAGTACTCGATGTCTATTTGCAGCCCCTCTTTACCCTCGTCACATACGTCGCTCAGCAGATAGGAGCCATGGCCTATAGGACAATTGCGCCAGACAGCATAGTGGATACGTCCAAGGCTTAATCGCCTGTCTCTCATCCTGTGGTCAACTACCGACCATATCCCGACCCGCTCGGTGGGTCGCAGCGTTCGGAGCTGAGTAAGGGCTTCTTGCCCGTAATGCTTATTCGCTCCCACCGATTGCTATTCTCTGTACATCATTACTCCATATGTTATCATGTTATCATCGAAGCTGTAATCTGGGTCCCCGCTAGTCCTGTCCAGGCATCTGAGATGCTCTGCCAATCAAGACATGAACTCTTAAGAATAGCGTATGCTTAGCGGGTTAGCAGGCGTCTGAGTCTGATCGTCATTCAGTAGGCTAAATACGCTAAATGAGGCTTTCTCATGTGAGGAGTTCTCTTATATTTCATTTTGATTCTATCTTGCCTAGGTGTGGCCGTAAAACGGCTAAGGTCACGGTGGTATGCCACTACTATTGTACGCGTATACCGGATACGCTGCTGTTGAAGGGCAAATAGGAGACGACAGAAGCTCAGACAAGGGCACGAATTTCCACAGTCAGTGGGACAGTGGCCAGATTATCGCCTCCCAGCTGAGACAGAGTCGCTATTATCTCGTGGAGCTTTGACATATTGTGTAGGGTGACCTGTGCAAGATTTATGGTGACAAGTTGGTTCAATAGTGAAATAATCTCGCCCGGTACGCTCTTGAGTTTCTTCTGAACTATTTGCACGATAAGGCAGCGGATTGTACAGCTATTATGAATTCTTAAGCTACCAAGAACGCAAAGAATGCAGTGTGGGTAATTCAACCAAGGGATTGGGAAGTTTAAGTTTACGGTTTGCATTTTGGTCCAGTGTTCCCAAGTATGCTTCAAGGATATCTATCTACCGTTAGCTTTTCTTTGCCTCTATATTTCATTGTTCAATGCTACGTCAACTTCTTCCTCTGATATCACACTCTATAGATATTCACCCGATGAACGATACCGAATATACTTCCCAGAGCTTCAGCTTCATTACCGTTTAAACAGCTACTGTGGGCAAATCCTGTATTGGCTATAATAAATAGCCAAGCTTGCTATCTGGGATTTCAATTCTTATGACTATCATTGATCCCAACTTCCATGACGAAATACTCAATGCTAGCCCCCCCCCCCCAAGTCATGTATTCAATCATGAAAGCTGACCAGACTCGATAATTTGGATTTTGGCACTGGTGTCACCCTCATCGGATCCGTAGGATTCAATTAGCTTGACCAGCTCCATACCCTCCTTAACTTTGCCAAAGACAACGTGGGCTCCATTCAACCAAGGGGTGGGAACAGTGGTGATGAAGAATTGAGAGCCATTTCTGATTCAGGTGAGCATCATACCATGATAAAGGATCGATGGAACTTACGTGCCCGGGCCAGCATTGGCCATGGAGAGAAGACCGGGGACAGTGTGCTTCAACTGGAAGTTCTCGTCGGGGAACGTCTCGCCGTAGATCGATCGACCGCCGGTGCCCTGTTGGCGTTAGATATGATTGTGTGATACAAATGGAGGGGTTTAGTCTTACATCTCCACGGGTGAAGTCACCACCCTGCAGCATGAACTCCGGGATCACACGGTGGAAAGAGCTTCCCTTGTATCCGAATCCCTTTTCGCCAGTGCAAAGGGCGCGGAAGTTCTCGGCGGTCCTGGGTGTGATGTCGGAGAAGAGCTCGAAGGTGATGCGGCCCTTGGGGGCTATGGTTCATAATCAGTGTCACTCGAAATTGAAAGGGGTAGTTTGGTGCTGATTCGTTCTTACCGCCATTGATTGCGATATCGAAAAAGACAATAGGTTTGGCCATGGTTGCTGGATACTTGTTGCTAAGTTATTTATTGTACAAGGATGGAAGGAAAGAAGATTGTTGATAGCAATCGATTTTTCGGTGATCGCGGGGTAGTGGAGGCAGTGACGTATGGACATGCATGACGGTTGAGTTTTGCGTAGAAGCTCTCTCATTGGCATCGTTGATACTCGGTATCCACTTAGTTGAAGCAATGGAAGTAGTATTTCTGGTTCGACATTTATCTCCCCATATAAACCTTTGCAACTAGTAAA